AAACGTTTAAAGTCGAGAGGAGAGAAGAAGAAGAATATGAAGACGGGGAAAAAGAAGAAGGGAGTGCCGGCTACCGGGCTGGAGAGTTCACCTCGAGTTCTTTCAGGGAAATTAGTCCGTTTTGAGAGAAAGATGGAGGGAAGAGAGAATGGGTCTTAAGCGTGCAGACTCGAGTTAACAGCCTCATCTTGAGGGCAAAAATTAAAAGTGGAGCCCGACACTCCACCGATACCGAGTCCATCTCCAGACTCAACGCGGCCAACAATTTACGACTTTTTTCCCTCGACAAGAGAAACGTAACAACCTTCCAAGGAAAAACGTCGTGTGAACCTTCAGGTGTTGCCAAATTTCCTTTGATAAAATACAAATTTCCTGGTAAACATATGAATATTTTCCCTCCAATTTTTCGGATGATTTTCTTCGCAATTTCACATGAAGTTCCTGAAAAGTTCATGGGGAGATATTCGTAACTTTTCTTAAAAATAAACATTTTACTGAAGGAAATTTGGCAACTCTCGAATATTCATACGGCGTTCTCCCTTAGCACGGCAGTATAAGGGCACCGTCCTCATGGGTCTGTTGCATAATCACGCGCGGAGCGCGCGGATAATGTGGACTTCATTGTGCAATAAGGGACTACAATCTCGGAATCATTTGCAAAAGCACATATCTGCACAGAGAAACTAATGGCGTATTCGTTGTTCCTAAAATCTGCCAGAAATATTAGTTCCTTGTTGCAAAATGTAGTCCATATCTCGTCATCTTCCGGCCGAAGTATCACAAGCGCAGTGCGACCGTTCACAATTTCCGTCGCCGTGTTCTTTTTTTACTGAGTATTTATTGATTGAATCTGTTTGAAAATTTCAATGAATTTTATCAGCGGCACACAAAAAATTCAGTGATATTCTCGGACAGCTTCGTCGAACCATTTCTCTGTAAAAAAAACAAAATGGTCGCGCAACTTTTGAACGTCGCACGATGCTTGTGATACTTTGGACGGCAGGTGACGATCTATTGTTACCTAAGCATGAAAGAAATCCTTGAATACGATTTCCCCAAACATAATGATCTCTGATTTTTCTTTTTTGCTCAATAGTTGAGAAGGTCCTCATACTTCGATTCTCTATGACACTATACCAAAAATAGCCGTAAAAAACCGTAAAATAACCGTATATAAATTGGACCGTATTTAGCGATAAGGAACTCTATTTTCTGCCTCATTTTAAAAACAGCGGAAGTACACTGGAAAAAAAACACATTGGCTCTAGAATCCAGACTCTTGAAAACATTGACAGGAAAAAATACTCTTGACTCAATCGGATTTTTGCTTACATCAAAACGAAATCCGCTTAAATTAAGAGGCTTGGTTCTTGATTTAAGCTGGATTCTGATTGAATCAAGAGTACTTTTTCTTGTCGATGTTTTTAAGGGTCTGGACTCTAGATCCAATGTGTTTTTTTCCCAGTGCACCATTATTTTTCCTATGTACATGAGTGTTTTTACAGATGAGCCAGAAATTGTAGTTCCTGATCGCAAAATTAAGCCCAGTTCGTCGCTCCTCTGACGTTANGCACGGTGTGACGTATGAGGCAATGTGGCGACGCACCCGACGTAAACGTTTAAAGTCGAGAGGAGAGAAGAAGAAGAATATGAAGACGGGGAAAAAGAAGAAGGGAGTGCCGGCTACCGGGCTGGAGAGTTCACCTCGAGTTCTTTCAGGGAAATTAGTCCGTTTTGAGAGAAAGATGGAGGGAAGAGAGAATGGGTCTTAAGCGTGCAGACTCGAGTTAACAGCCTCATCTTGAGGGCAAAAATTAAAAGTGGAGCCCGACACTCCACCGATACCGAGTCCATCTCCAGACTCAACGCGGCCAACAATTTACGACTTTTTTCCCTCGACAAGAGAAACGTAACAACCTTCCAAGGAAAAACGTCGTATGAACCTTCAGGCGTTGCCAAATTTCCTTTGATAAAATACAAATTTCCTGGTAAACATATGAATATTTTCCCTCCAATTTTTCGGATAATTTTCTACGCAATTTCACGTAAGTTCCTGAAAAGTTCAAGGGGAGATATTCGTAACTTTTCTTAAAAATAAACATTTTACCGAAGGAAATTTGGCAACTCTCGAATATTCATACGGCGTTCTCCCTTAGCACGGCAGTATAAGGGCACCGTCCTCATGGGTCTGCTGCATAATCACGCGCGGAGCGCGCGGATAATGTGGACTTCATTGCGCAATAAGGGACTACAATCTCGGAATCATTTGCAAAAGCACATATCTGCACAGAGAAACTAATGGCGTATTCGTTGTTCCTAAAATCTGCAAGAAATATTAGTTCCTTATTGCAAAATGTAGTCCGTATCTCGTCATCTTCCGGCCGAAGTATCACAAGCGCAGTGCGACCTTTCACAATTTCCGACGCCATGTTCTTTTTGTTACAGAGAATTTGTTGATTGAATCTGTTAGAAAATTTCACTGAATTTTATCAGCGGCACACAAAAAATTCAGTGAAATTCTCGGACAGCTTCGTTGAACCATTTCTCTGTAAAAAAAAAAACAAAATGGTCGCGCAATTTTTAAACGTCGCACGATGCTTGTGATACTTTGGCCGGAAGGTGACAATCTATTGCTACCTGAGCATGAAAGAAATCCTTGAATACGATTTTCCCAAACATAATGATCTCCGATTTTTCTTTTTGCTCATTAGTTGAGAAGGTCCTCATACATCGATTCTCTATGACGCTGTACTAAAATAACATGTATAAATTGGACCGTATTTAGCACACTGGAAAAAAAACACATTGGATCTAGAGTCCAGACTCTTAAAAACATCGACAAGAAAAAATACTCTTGATTCAATCGAATTTTTGCTTAAATCCAGCACCAAGCCTCTTAATTTGAGCGGATTTCCTTTTGATTGAAGCAAAATCTGATTGAATCAAGAGTGTTTTTTCTAGTCAATGTTTTCAAGAGTCTGGACTCTAGATCCAATGTGTATTTTTCTTTCCAGTGCAATAAGGAACTCTATTTTCTGCCTCATTTTAAAAACAGCGGATGTACCAATATTTTTCCTATGTACATGAGTGTTTTTACAGATGAGCCAGAAATTGTAGTTCTTGATCGCAAAATTAAGCCCAGTTCGTCGCTCCTCTGACGTTAAGGGTATGTTAATTTCCATGTGAGCCCTGTTTCACATAAAAATCCATGCTTTTTGGGGCTCATGCCGAAGTCGAGAGCTCTTACGTCAGCGAACCCATTATTGAGTCGTTATCGACTGATCCTGGTCGATAAATCCTTATCTTAGCAGGGACTTATGGAACAAGGTCGCTGGGTAACGATTCAGCGATCCAGGCGACATATTCTGGCTTTTGTAAACATAGTCCAATAAGAGATGTACAATTTTAATGAAATTAGGCATTTTCCGGTAAAAGGGCGTGTGTGAATTCCAATGCTGCTAAGATTGCGCAACGTTGTTCTATAGTTGTTCTATAGTTGTTCTATAGTGAGTATTATCCAACAGTTCTGCTATGAATTTTTCCCTGCGAATTTGCCCCGAGTTTTTCCTCGCTATAGTAAGGAAAAAAGTCAAATGAGAATGAAGTTAATCTGCATAGATCCTAGAAACATTGCAAGCCTCATACGCCCTTTTGCCAGAAAATGCCTCAAATTTTGAATTGAGAAATCTTACGAGGTTTAATGAAAGTTCATCGTCACGTTAACACGACTAACTTCAAACTAAGAACTCTTAAAACTTCAGGAATAGACTTGGAAGGCATTGAGCGCACAGAGAAAATTAGGTCCATTTTAAAATTATGGAGATGAAAAAAAAGGGAAGAAAGAAAAAATCAGACACCAGACCCGGCAGACCATACATCGGCGGACGTAGGTAAAATTTGTGGCGCCCTCTATCGACAGAGCTTCCAAACTCGATGCGCGGAGGCCGACGATTCAACCCAGTGTCGCTCCCTAACGGCGGCTGCTGAAACTACACTTCAGGAAAAGGGCGGCAAGCTCAGGAGCTTCTCAGACTTTCCGTCGTCGGCGGGTCGCTGAACCCACCCTCCGACCGCCAGTGCCGGCCGCAATTCCGTCATTTTGACGTGAAATGAGCTATTTGAAGGGCTGATCCTTTGGAAACGGCTCGCCAGACGGGCCGGATCCCGTTGTGATTATCCCATCAACCAATGTCCCCAGGAACGAAAATTACCTCTCAAATTGAACGCGGAAAATGATTCAAGGACTGGGAGGGTCGTAACTTATCCCCTGTGTAAAGAGTCTTAAAAGAGTACCTCTTTTCGGGAACTCAAGGATTTCGTTCAAATGTGTCCCAAACAAAACCTTCCCAAGTAAATGTTTTTATTTTTTTTTTCTTGAGTGAAGGGAGCATTTCCACGCAAGGTGTTGACTAATTAATTTTTTTTTTTAAAAAATTCACTCATTTGCGACGGTTGAATATTATCGGGTAGACGCGTTTCGAGCGGCCGGCTCATCATCGGTTACAAAATTACTTCCCAAGCAGCATTTTTCAACGGAGGAATCGCTATGTTTTGAGCTTAAGGTGCCATTATGTTAACGATTTTTCGGCGATAAAATTGCTAAGACCATCAACATATGAGCGATTATCTTGCAGCATTGTTTCATGCCAACTGACTGACTGCAGCGCGTTTGGCGCAAAGCGAGAAGTATTCATGCAGTCTTGTAGGCGCTAATATGGGCTTTGCGTCGACCGTACTGTTTGGCGCAATGCGTGAAGTATTCCTACAGTCTTGTAGGCGTTAATACACATTTAATATCTCAGTTTCTAAAAACGAGCACAAAGAGTGTTTTTTTAGACAGACTCTTTTATGCCAAGAATATGCCAATTTCGTACACAGATCATGCGGTAAGCTGTGATGTTCAAACTTCAGCCATTTCCTGAACGAAAAAATTCTCATTTTCCATTAGGCTGAAGTTTGCGACAAACCTGCAGATTGCGAATCGGTAATTTCGGGCTTACCTTGAGATGGGTAGCCTGTTTCTCCGGATCGGTTTCGACCGTCTCCAGGGCGGATTCTGTCTCGGACAGCCAAGCCAGGAACTTATCTAGAGACCTGTCTAGATTGTGCAGCGAGTTGATTGCCGAATGCAATAGTTCGCCACGTTTCACGATGCTGAAATCAGAAAATCAAACGTTAACTCTCAAAATGGACCAATAGCCAAGGTGCGAATTTTGGAAAATTATATATTAATTATAGAATCAAATATTGCGAATTTGGAAACCTGCTTCATACTTCCCACCAAGAAGGAGAAAACTAACTAAATTCGCCGTCTCCTTCACGAAAGAACGTAGCTACAATTCAATGTTGCCAAATTTTCCCTTGTAAATTTCATTATTATACCAGGAAAATCTTCGGCATTTTTTACTGAAAAATGTACTGGTTTTACCCCTGATCTCATACACAAACCAGGGAAATACATACATAAAGTCGCTTTTATAGCGCCGCCTCGCGCTCTGCGACGCCCAATCGCCATTGCCCCCTATCCTCCCAGAGATCATCAGGCAATTGCCACCTTCTGATCTCCTCCAGGGAAAACCAGAACAGGGAAATTCTGGACGAAAATTATACGGGTGCATTTCCGTAAAAAATTAAATTGTTTAAGTCAATTTTGCAACCTTGGAATGAAGTTACGTTCCCTCTTTCAGGAGACGACGAACTAATCGTTATTTTCGTACGACTTAACTTTTAAAAAATCTGATACGTTACTAGGTTTTTGTATCTTTTGTGCATTACTGCCGCCGTATTGCAGCAAAATTGCAAGTTAGGACTCCACGGCCCGAATTCTTTCGATTGAAATGGGATGAAATCGACCTGCTCATCAAGCGAGTGGGAAAGAGAATTAAAATACCGGAGGAAAAAAGGGCGTGAGGCCGTCACCGAAACTTTTTTAATCTCGAACAAACAACACGACAACGAGACGAACCTGACGAAAGTTCACGGTAAACTTTTAATATGCAAATATTTTACTGTGTACACGGCGCAGTCACCAAATCGCGGCATACCCACCGAACGATGCGCTAGGAGCTAAGATATAATGACGAAAACTAACAACGTTGAGCGGGGCATTTCCCGCCAAGATTTATTGCTTTTGTTTGGTTAATTTTTCGTGGCGTTTGTTTGAGGACTCAGGAGTGCAAACGAGATTCGACGTGAGCGAAACGTAGGTATTGATGGTTGAAAATTAAAATTAAAATTCTTAATCAGTGTAGCCAGTGACGTTTTTAGACTGAACATTAAGGAGAAGCAGAATTGAGGGGCTTGGAAAACAAGGCGCATAAGTGCAGGCGCTATGATTTGCCAAAAGGAATCACGCCTACTTTTACATTTCTTCTTATGCAGTGTTCTAGAGCAGATCCCATGTTTCCCATCCATCTCTAGTTCTTTCAGAAGAACAACTTAATTTGGGGAAAAGGCTGCAAAAAAAGAACAAAGGACAAACAAAACCCGGAACGTTTCAAAATAGTTACAATTTCATTTTCAACCGGAAACTAAAAAAGTTCTTAAGATTTTAAGTTTAAAGTTGTTTTTTATTTTCCGGTTGAAAATGAAATAGTAACTATTTTGAAACGTTCCGGGTTTTGTTTATCCGTTGTTCTTTTTTTGCAGCCTTTACCCCAAATTAAGTTGTTCTTTTATTATAAGTATTTTGGCTGATTAAGTTGTTTTTCATTCTAGTTCTTTTTAGCAATTAATACGTCCGTTTCTTACGATCGACTACGGAACACACCCCATGTTTCCCAAAAATCTTGATTTCTTTTTGTTAAGCTCGGTTCGTTTGAATGAAACCCTAAGAATGGCTCCTAAGAATGAAGACCCGACAATTTTGATGAATCACCATTGAGATGCGTGGCCAGGGGTGATTCTCTCATGTTGGCAAATCGATTTAGACTATAATACGAACAAATACAATGACAAAGCCCAGTGCTGAAAAGTTAAACCTACAGGCACTTTTCATGAATTTCACTCTCCGGGTACGTAAAAGGTGCGACGGCATACCTTGAATTTAGGTTGTTGTAGCGCATGTTGATCTGCTCTGTTGTTTTCTTGACGCGAGAGGTGTCGTCTTGCTGGTACACGGCCACCAACTGCTGGGTCAACTTGCTCAGTATGTCGATGTTGCTTTTGTACTGGTGCACTTCAGCGTGGAACGACTGAAAGGAAAAATTCAAAATGTTTAGAATACAATTCAATTATTCTCGCTACCTACATTAAAAAGCATCAGCGCTACTCATTGGTGTCAGTTCCTGATGACAGAGATAAAACTGATTATTACACAGCACACCAAATTTCGGGTTTTGGTTTATCCTTCAAACTAAACCTATTTTTTTCGATTCCTAGGTGCTAAAGAAGCCCGAAAATGGCAATATAAACTTCCGGAAAAATGGCTGCCGGAAATCGGAAACCGGAAATTGGAACCGTTGGGGAGATATTTGCAAAAATCTAATCGTGGGTTTTCTCAATTTTAAAAAATTTAAAATGGCGGCGCCCTGAGGACCAGCCAATTTTCCTGAAGTTAATATGGCCATTTCCGGGCTTCTTTAGCACCTAGGAATCGAAAAAAATTGGTTTGATTCGAAGGACAGAACCCATGTTGACCGGTGTTATCAGGCTTAAACAGGAGTTCAAACTTAGTAGAGCCTGCTAGACCATCTGAGATTACCTAGATCCATATCTAGGTAATAAAAAAAAAAAAAAAAAATTGTGGACGTGTTCACACTCTCCATAGAGTGCAAACACGTCGATGATTTTAAGGTTAGACGATGGAGCTCTTAGAGCCCAAAAGGGCGGCCAATCTATGAATTCGAACTATCCGGAGTGATTTATTATTGAAACTGCTACAGCCCGTCGTTCGTAAAGCACATACTCGACTTAGTTCTTGCAAAAATTTACACATTTTGGCACGGTGAGTTGGGAAATATGAAAACATCAGATTGCGTATTTTATACTGTGGTCGCTGACTCCTTTTTGGCCAAAATTGTCTGTTGGGCAGTATTGTACCTTAGCCCTCTATCGGATTTCGGAAAATCGTCGGGACGCAACCACACTGAAAAAAAGTGTGGAGACATCTACTACCTATAAGTCTACTTGATTTTTTACACAGTGATACTATTTAGTGAAAATAACCAGAATGATATTGGTGGTATTTACTAGAACTCTGGTGCATGATACTTATTATGATAGGGTAAATGCTGTCATAGAGTCAGGTGTTAATGAACTTACTCGGATCACTGTGTCTGAGTATGGTAAGATCTACCATAATTTTTTTTTCGGGGCCGTAAGGTCCACCTTCCACCGAAAATGTGGACTACCCCTCAAACTTAAAACAGAGTTGCCACAGAATTTAGATAATGAAAATCCCCGACATTTCCCTGATTTCTCTGATACATTTTGGTAAAATTCCATTCCCTGACAATTAAGGATATGCCAGATGGTTAAAAAACAAGATTTCAAATAGTTTTCAGGCGAAATTTATTGTTCAAAACGTCAAACCCACCCTGAAAAGGTAATGAAGGCGACTTGACAATTTTCCCTCACACTTTCGTCATCTTCCCTGACAAACGGAGAAAAAAACCTCGTGCATGAGACCCGAAGTTTAGGTCATACGGATCTCTGAAGTTTTCAGATTGAGCATCTGAACACTTTAGGTCTAGCTGTCGAGGTCCGGATCACACATCTGAAACTTTAGTTCTTACATCTGAAGTACTTAGATGTGAGAACCGAAGTTTTTCGGATGTGAAAACCGAAGTACTTAGAAGAGATCCATATGACCTAAACTTCGGGTCCCACGCACGAAGTTTTTTTCTCCGTGCATTTCCAGGTTTTCCCTGACTTATTAAAATTCCCTGGAATTCCCCGGTTCTCCCGGTATTTCCTGACTGTGGATGTGGCTAGAGACGGTAGAAATTTCGAATATTACCTTCTGCTCTCTGATTTGGGTGTCGAGGACATCGGCGGTGTGTCCGACGGGCGGCATGCGGTCAAGCCGGGTTTCCATGCGGTTGAGCCACGCTTCTACCTCCTGCCGCTTCGAGTCGTAGCGCTGGCTGTCGCTCAACATGGCGTCCAGGGTCGCTTTCCTCTGCACCACTGCGTTGTTCGCCTCATCCCAGTGTTCTCGCAACTTGGTCACTGCACAATCGTAAGAAAGAATCGTAAATCAATGGCTATTTCAAATGTAAAAATTAAGCTAAATACTTAAAATTGTGAGAGGGGGAAGGGGGTAGGGGGTTCCCCTCGACCCTGTAACACGGGACCCTTCCATGAGCCCAGGGGCCGAATTTTTTCGGCCCTCTCACCGTACTTAAATATACTTGGGACAAGTCTTAAGGACTCAAGTCCAGCTTAGCGCTCCTAATTGTCCGGTGGTGCGGTTTGGACTCATTGATGGATGTTGCACTCCGTGTGAAAGAACCGACAAAATGGACCACTAGACAAGGTACGAAGTTAAGCATTCTGATCAGAGACAAGAGACCCTCCACCGCGGGGCGATTATTGAAATGTCATCGACTCTATGTCGCCGCTTACGACAAGACATAGCCATTTCTTAACCGTGCAATATATCGCAATTCGATGTCTTATCGGGCTGTTTTAAATTCCAATAATCGGCCCGTTGGCCTCTTGGCGACAGGTGAAAGCTTTTACTTTCGGGGATTCAACAGTTCCTTATGGACAATTATAAGGCAGCAACAGTCATCACCCTAATTTCGGCTGTTAACCTACCTACATAGTGGATGATGAGCTTCGGGTGACGTCATCAGCCAAACAAGTTTTCCAAACTTCAGCCATTTTCGGCCTGTTTGCGAAACGAAACTGCCAACTCGTTGATGAACATCAACCATGTAGGTAAGTCAACAGTAGAATGCTGAAGTCCCGAAAATAAAAGCTTCCACCATTGCCAAGACACTAGTGGAAGGTCTCTTGTCTCTGATTCTGATACATGTTCCTTAACGGAAATGTCACGTAAAACTCGACTCCATCAACGAAACGTGATTATATGGTTAATTAATCATACTTCGAGGCATTGCAGATTTGCCATGTTATGCGATGAAAAAAGAGTAATTTGTATGGGTTATAATGGAGGAAAAAGCTGATTTTTCAGCAGTATCTGTCAACCACGAGGCACTGTCTCTACGTAAAATGAGGAAGAAACAAAGCGTGATCCGGCTTGAAATCGGCCCTACATTGCAAAAGCTCAAAGTTCTAAATATTTACAAAAGTTAAGGAAACGAGGGAACAAATTCCAAAAGACTGACCTCGCTCGGGTTACGTTAAAAGACAGTGGCGAGCTTGAATGATCGATTTATCGATATTTCCCTATTTGAAGCTGGGGTACAGAATCGATTATTAAGGTATTCGTTGCGAACACCCGTCCATCGATCCTTTTCCATGGGTTTAAATGGCAGGTCAATCGATAAATCGCAAAGCACGCCACGCCACTGTTAAGAGAGCGACAGAGAAATAGAAAAATCCTTTAGCGTTTCTGGAGAGGGAAAGCCATAAGAGGCGCGAATTACAAGGATAAATCCGTCCGTGAATTCGATATCCCAAAGATTGAGTTGGATTTGGTCCTCGGAAACCGATGCGAGAAATGCTCCGTCTTTGATCCCCAGTGCGAGGGTCAGCCAACATATATTCATGAGGAAATCGTACGAAATTGCCTTCGAATGGATCGCTTTGTTATCGATGGATGTTAAAACTGCCGTGCTAAGGAAGAACGCCGTATGAACATTCGAGAGTTGCCGAATTTCCTGCGATAAAATGTTTATTTTTGAGGAAATCTATTAATATTTTTCCTTGAAATTTTCACACTACTTGGATCAAATTATATGAACGAAATTCTCTGAAAATCGAAAGAAAAAATTGTATAAGCATTCCTATGAATTCGTGATTTATCAAAGGAAATTTGGCAACGCCTAAAAGCTCATACGGCGTTCTTCTTAGCACGGCGGAAAACCTTACAAGTCCATTTTCTGAGCTATTTACGAATTCTTGTACCCTAGCGGTCAACAGAAAATTATAAAATATTCGGTTTTGTCATCTTTTGTTTCATCTGCGGTGCCGTGAGAATGAATTTCAAGAGAGAGGGAAAGAGAAAATGGGGAAGTTACAGCTCGAGTTTCCTTGGCTTTCAAAATTTCCTAACTTTCTCCTGACAGCTACGATTTGCCGCGAGAATATAGTCGATCTCCAAAGGACGTCGTGACATTTTTGCGTCAGAATTTTACTTAGTCGTTAAGTCGTATTGATCGGTTGAGCTCCTTTCATAAAGTTCAGAGAAATGCGGGGTATCAAGGAGATAATGCCAACGAATAAGAGATCGGCTATCTAGGTCAACATAAAACTTTTAAGTCTGATGTAGTCTTTTCGAGATTATTATATTTCAGCATTAAGCGCGTGAGTTTCATAGACTTCATCCGAAAATGTATTGCTGTACTTTAGAGAATTTATATGACCAACAAAGGAGGGGTATCGATACGGGCCTTTTTCGGCCCCCTAGGGCACATCATCTAACTAAAACCAAACCAGGGTTAAAACGTGTCCTGAAGCCTCCTTGATAACACATCAAAAGTTTGTTTAGTTAGACGATGGTGTCAAAAAAGCCTGGGAGTAATAGAAAAACACGCAATTTTCGTTAAAATGCGCCTGCACACTGAAAAAAATGAGTTAGCGTCAGATGACTAAAAATGGTTTCTATACACTAACTCAAATTGTGTGATTTGGACACACATGATTTTTGGTTTCTGTACACTAACCACTATTAGTGCTGGAAACTAATTCCGCTACTCTAATTCGCATTCGGTAGGGTTGGGTCAACCTAACCTCAAAACTGAGAGAGGAGAAAACGGCTTAGCGAATGATAACTGGACA